ACCATCTAAAAGAAGGTTACAGATTAATAACTGATAAATTAGATATTGCAAATAAACTTGTCGAAACTATTGCCAAAAATTCTTCATCAACAAATTATGTCCCTGAGTTTCAGAAATATCAGAAACAACAGGAAAAGAAAAAAAGTTAATTTTGATTCTAATAATGGTGGAGATTACAATGAAGTATTTTCATTGCATGAGCTACATACCGCTCTTGAGCAAGCTCATGATACTGCAGCGGGTGATGATAATATCCATAATCAGTTACTGAAGCATTTGCCTGAATCATGTCTTGAGACACTTTTAAATATCTTTGACCAAATATGGACTTCAGAGAATTTTCCTCCTTCGTGGCCTAATGCCATTGTAGTCCCCATCTCAAAACCTGGCCGGGATCATACAGATCCCTCAAATTATCGCCCTATATCGTTAACCAGTTGTGTTTGCAAAACCATGGAACGAATGGTGAATAATAGATTAGTTTGGTATCTGGAAACCAATAACCTTCTCACAAATATTCAGTGTGGTTTCCAGAAAAATAGAAGTACTATTGATCATTTAGTACGGTTAGAATCCTTTGTTAAAAATGCTATTGTTAATGAACAACACGTAGTATCAATTTTCTTTGATCTTGAGAAGGCATACGATACTACCTGGAAGCATGGCATTTTAAGGGATTTACTGATTTTGGCTTGAGAGGTCGTTTACCTCATTTTATAGCTCAGTTTTTAACAGACAGGCAATTTCAAGTCCGAGTGGGTACAACCCTGTCTGACCATTATAATCAGGATCAGGGTGTCCCACAAGGAAGTATTTTGTCTGTCACTCTATTTAGTATAAAAGTAAATAGTCTTTCAAAGGTTTTAAGTGACTCAGTTGATGGATCACTTTTCGTGGATGACTTTAATGTTTCTTGCCGTGGAAAAAATATGCATACAATAGAGAGGCAGTTACAAATCTGTCTGAATAAAATTCATAAATGGTCCCTCGAAAACGGGTTTAAATTTTCTACATCCAAAACTAATTGTATACATTTTTGCAGAAAATATAAGCCGCATAAGGACCCTGAACTGTACTTAAATGGTACCCCTATCAAAGTTGTGAAGGAGGCCAAGTTCTTGGGACTTATTTCCGATAGCCATTTAACTTTTTTACCACACATTAAATACCTTAAAGGTAAATGCCTGAAGGCACTTGATTTGTTGAAGTCGTTTCTAATTCCAAGTGGGGAGGGGATCAGACAACACTCTTGCACTTGTACAGGTCCCTGATCCGTTCAAAACTTGATTACGGCTCCATCGCCTATGGTGGAGCCTGCAAAAGTAACTTAAAAAAACTAGATACTATCCATCATCAGGGCCTGAGGCTTTGCCTTGGAGCCTTTAGAACGTCTCCAATTCACGGTCTGTATGTAGAAGCAGATGAACCTTCTCTTAAACAACGCCGTCTGAAATTATCTTTACAATATGTCACTAAATTATATTCCAATCAGTCAAATCCAGCTTTTAATTGCGTCTTTAATCCTCTTTACCAAGATATTTACAATAAAAAATCATCTCTCGTTCCACCGCTCGGAATAAGAATCCAGTCTGCCATGTTTGCCTCTAATATGAAATTGCACGATATTGCTCCCTCTCAACTGTTTTCATCACCTCCTTGGCAAATGGTAAGGCCAGAGGTAGACCTCACCTTAACCAAATTAAAGAAATCAGACACAAATCAACTTATTTACCAACAAGAATACAATCAATTAAGAAACTATTGTGACGCTTATAAATCTATATTTACTGATGGTTCCAAGGATGGTGGTGCTGTTGCTAGTGCCACTGTCATTAGATCCAGGACAATATCTTTGCGATTACCAGATAACAGTTCGATCTTTACAGCAGAAGCAAACGCCATTTTTACAGCACTAAAATATATCAAAAACCAATCTTAACATTAACAATTAATTATTTTTTCAGATTATCTATCGTGCCTTCAGGCGATTAAAAATATATCATGCAAACATCCACTTTTAATCAAAATTTCCATTTTTACAGCAGAATCCAAAGCTATTCTAACAGCCCTAGAATACATTAATCACCAATCTAAATATAAAGAATTTATCATCTTTTCTGACTCTCTCTCGTGTCTTCAGGCCATTCAAAATAATGCATGTCATCATCCACTTTTATTAGAAATTGTTGAATTATTTAATAATCTTGCTACTGGCCAATATGACATCGTCTTTTGTTGGTTACCAAGCCATGTTGGTATCACTGGTAACACAATGGCTGATGCTGCTGCAAAAGCAGCACTCAACAAATCTGTGACACCACTTCTGATCCCATACACTGATTTTAAACCCCTGATTAGATCTTACATCGGAGATTTAATGCAAAAGAAGTGGGACGCCCAAGTAGGTATCAATAAATTACATGAAATTAAACCAAATATCGGTTACACCTACTTGGGCTGTCAGTCCAGATTTGAAGAGGTCATTTTGCGACGATGTCGTATTGGCCATTCAAGATATACCCATGAGTATTTGTTAAAAGGCGAGGATCCTCCGTTTTGTATCCCTTGTGATGAAAGAATCACAGTCAAGCATGTTTTGCTTGACTGTATTGATTTTTCCATCACAAGGGATAAATATTATAGTGTAAAAACAGCCAAGGACCTTTTTAGTCATGTCAATTCTCCTTCAATATTGTGTTTTTTAAAAGAAATAGACTTAATTCATAAATTTTGATGAACATAATGTGTTATTTTATATATCTGTAGTGCTTATTAATAACTTAGACTGTTAGTGGCTGTACCCTCGAGGGGGGTTGAAGAAGTGTAAAATTATTGTCCCCCTAAGAGGGTAAGTAAGTCCCCCATCATTCGAAGTGTTTATATGCATGCCCGAATTTTAATACATAGAATTTTTGTCATTTTAATATTTGGCTTAACTAGTAAAATATCGCCGGTGACTGAAGGGATGATATAAATCCAGCCAGTGTCCATGCAGGAAGCAAAGGCACTGTAAGTCCCCATGGTCCCTGGTATGGTGATCTCCCTTTAGTTACTGACGATCTCTAGCCCATTTTGATATTGTGTTGTTCACTAATACTTATGACTTTTATATATTCTCAACTAGTTTTAAATAGACTCTGTGATATTCTAGTTATTGTACTGTCCATCGTTGACAGCTATATATATTGTCTAAATATGTGTATTATTAATGTACTTCTCGCCACGATATGGCTGAAATACTGCCGATGTGACGTTAAATCTTAACTCACTCACTCACTCACTCTAGTAATTTTATTGTCCTTTGCTATATCCTGCTGGGGAGCCGTGCAGGTAGCAGAAGTAATGTACTCGGTCCCTAGTAAGGTGGCCTAACTTTGGTTGCTGGTGATCTATAGCCCATTTTTATATTGTGTTGTTGATTATAAATGTATTGTTTTTACTGTTCTCAACTAGTTTTACAATTGAAACTGTGATATTCTAGTTATCTTACTGTCCATCGTTGACAGCTTTTTATTAAATCAAAATGTAATTATTATAACTGTTTTGTAGCGATATGGATGAAATACTGCCGATATGACGATAAATTTTACTCACTCACTCACTTATTGTCCTTTGCTGACAGGTTTTTATATAGTCTAAATTAATGTTTCCTTAATGTATGAATCGCTTTAGTCACGATATGGCTGAAATATTGCCGATGTGACTTTAGATATTAACTCACTCACTCACTCACTCTCCTTTCAGGCTTCTGTCTTCCCCTCCTTGGCAACTTATCAGACCGGAGGTGGACTTTACTCTTACACAATTTAAAAAATCAGACACAAATCAATTACTATATCAGCAAGAATATATTCAGGTAAGGACTAAATATGAATCCCACCGTTCCATTTTTACAGATGGATCCAAGGACGGTAGCACAGTCTCAAGTGCTGCTATCAGAGTGATGGTGTAAATCCTGCTGGGTTACCATGTAGGTAGCAGAAGTATCGTAAGTCCCCATGGTACCTAGTATGGTGACCTACCTTTGGTTATTGGTGATCTATAGCCCATATTTATTGTGTACTGTTCTGAATTGTTATGAATTTTATTATGATATGCTAGTTTTAAATTTACATCTGTGATAGTCTAGTGTTTTTACTGTCCTTTGTCGACAGATTTTAATGTCTAAATGTATTAATATATAACTTGATTTAGTCACTATATGGCTGAAATATTGCCGATGTGACTTTAAATATTAACTCACTCACTCACTCATATACTTATCTTTGTTGTAATTATAAAATCTAGCTTTAAACTTCAGAGATTGTTGTGTGATTCTTGTAATAGTTATTGGATGTATTAGCGGGAACCCCTGCCTTTCATCCCGGAGGTAACAAGAAGTCATTTAAAGCAATATAGCCAAATTACCCCTATCTGGCCCCACACTTCAGCCCTTTGGGGGGTCAGCCCCACCTTTTGTACAATTTTTAAATCCTCACCACCTAGGAATGCTTAATATGGTTGATATATATCTCCTAGTTCCAGAGAAGAAGTCGTTTAAAGCAAAATAGCCAAATTACCCGTATTTGGCCCCGCCCCTTAGTCCTTTCAGGGGTCAGCCCAACCATTTGTACAATTTTGAATCCCCACCACATATAGATGATTCCAGCCAAATATGGTTGATATCTTTCTCTTAGTTCCAGAGAAGAAGTCGCTTAAAGCAATATAGCCAAATTACCCCTACCTGGCCCCGCCCCTTAGCCCCTTGGGGTCAGCCCCACCATTTATACAATTTTGAATCCCCACCTGCTAGGGATGTTGCCCACTAAATATCATTGATATCTGTCTCTTAGTTCCACTTCCAATTCGTGGTTCAGAAGAAGAACTTGTTTGAATAAATTGTTGACGTACGGACGGACGGACGGACGGACGGACGGATGTATTCAAAAAGTGTTTACAACATGAATATATACAACATGTCAATGTCTGTAAGAATATGCTTGTCTGCACAAACCTGTCACCTAATACATTTGAGCACCATGTGACACAAGAAGATCAATAATGTCTCTTCGCCCTCGAGACGTCGCTTTATTGGCTGCTGTTTGTCTTTTGCTGTTCCTGGCGTTGATGTTCACCATATCCTGTGAGAGGACAAACTTCACCACCTCCACATTTCCTCCCCGACAGGCGAAGTGAAGGATGGTGTCACCTCCTATATCCGAGAGTGACAAATCAGCCCCTTTACTTACAAGTAACTCTACCACTTCTTCATGTCCCTTTTCTGCTGCCAGCATCACTGGTGTCATCTTATTCCAACATCTACTGTTGATGGACACCATGTCCATGACATATTTAACCACCTCCTCATGTCCTTCTCGACTGGCCAAACAAAGGATGTTGTTTCCACCATCATATACGAGCGACACATTAGCTCCTTTACTTACGAGTACCTCTACCACTTCTTTATGTCCCTTCGCTGCTGCAAGCATCACTGGTGTCATCTTCTTCCATCCTCTACTGTTTATGGACAGCCTGCCCAGTGAGAGGACATACTTCACCACCTCAACCTGTCCTCCCTGACTGGCCAAGTGAAGGAGGTTGTTACCTCTTTTATCCGAGAATGACACATCAGCCCCTTTACTTACAAGTAACTCTACCACTTCTTTATGTCCTTTCTCTGCTGCCGTCATCGCTGGTGTTATCTTCTTCCATCCTCTACTGTTGATGGACACCATGTCTTGTGAGAGGACAAACTTCACCACCTCCTCATGTCCTTCCCGACTGGCGAAGTGAAGGAGGTTGTCACCTCTTTTATCCGAGAGTGACACATCAGCCCCTTTACTTACAAGTAACTCTACAACTTCTTTATGTCCCTTCCCTGCTGCCAGCATCACTGGTGTCATCTTATTCCAACATCTACTGTTGATGGACACCATGTCCATTACATATTTAACCACCTCCTCATGTCCTTTTCGACTGGCCAAACAAAGGATGTTGTTTCCACCATCATATACGAGCGACACATTAGCCCCTTTACTTACGAGTACTTCTACCACTTCTTTATGTCCCTTCTCTGCTGCAAGCATCACTGGTGTCATCTTCTTCCATCCTCTACTGTTTATGGACAGCCTGCCCAGTGAGAGGACATACTTCACCACCTCAACCTGTCCTCCCCGACTAGCGAAGTGAAGGAGGTTGTTACCTCTTTTATCCGAGAGTGACACATCAGCCCCTTTACTTACAAGTAACTCTACCACATCTTTATGTCCCTTCTCTGCTGCCAGCATCACTGGTGTCATCTTATTCCAACATCTACTGTTAATGGACACCATGTCCATGACATATTTAACCATCTCCTCATGTCCTTCGCGACTGGCCAAACAAAGGATGTTGTTTCCACCATCATATACGAGCGACACATCAGCCCCTTTACTTACAAGTAACTCTACCACTTCTTTATGTCCCTTCTCTGCTGCAAGCAACACTGGTGTGAAATTCTTCCATCCTCTACTGTTGATGGACAGCATGCCCAGTGAGAGGACATACTTCACCAACTCCACATGTCCTCCCCTACTGGCACAGTGAAGGAGGTTGTGACTCTTTTTATCAACGTGTGTCACATCAGCTCCTTCATTCACAAGTAACTCTACCACTACTCTATGTCCGTTCTCTTCTGCCAGCATCACCGGTGTTGTCCCGCACCATACTCTACCATTGTTATTAACAATGTCCTGTGAGAGGACATACATCACAACCTCCACATCTCCTCCCAGACAGGCAGAGTGTAGGATGTTGTTGTCTAATCTATTGACGAGTGACACGTTAGCTCTTTTTCTCGCGAGTAGCTCAACCAATTCTCTATGTCCCTTACCAGCAGCCAACATCACCGGTGTCCTTCCAATCCATTCTTTACAGTTAATGTCCGCCCGTCCTTGGGACAAGATGAGTTTCACTCTTGACAGGTCTCGGGTCCTATTGGTTCTATGGCGGTCGCAGAACGAAGGTGCTGTAACACAATATTTTACTCTACACATCTGGAAAGGTACGAGATTGAAGTTGCAAGACAGATAATTGCGACAAAGCGAGGGTCTTTGACATGATACTATAAATACGAAAACGACGTTATTTTTTGTATACGGACTTTGGATTAAATAACTATGACAAGACCCGTGAAGGTCCGGGGTAGAAAAGGTCAGTATCCCATGCTTGCCGTAAAAGGTGACTTTGCTTGTCGTAAGAGGCGACAAACGGGATCGGGTGGTCAGCCTCGCTGACTTCGTTGATGCATGTCGGGATCGATGCTCATGTCAATCACTGGATTGTCTGGTCCATACTCGATTATTTACAGACTGCCGTCATACAGCTCGAATATTGCTGAGTGAGGCGTTAAACAACAAACAAACTATGACAAATTGGGGGGGCAGTGTTTTGATAACGGCACACGAATAAATGTTTCACGTTTACTATTAAACGTAAAAGAGGAAATCTGGCTTAACAGTTTAAAAAAAAAGAAAAGATCTGGGTCCGGGTAACACTTGTCAATTCATGTTTCAAACTTAAGTTTTTAAAGATGGAAGCTTGAAAGTCAACACCGCTTCCAACTTCTTACATTCGCTTCACCGTTTTAAAAGATGAATAGCTCAAAAGCTCTACTTTGAGTAAACATGTTTTCGGAGATATTTTGTCGTTTTGAAATTTAAGATGACGGAGACGTTAGAATTGCTTGTTTACTCTCGTTTTTTACAATGAGAAAGACCATGGTTTACACCATACACATGCGGTTGACAACAATAAAGGTGCGTACCCCCACCCGCCAACACAAAATAGCTCTAGAAATATTTGGTATTTGTAAGGTAGAATATAGCCCAGTTTTCTACGTCTCAGATTTTAGCATATGCTGGATGTAGTCATTTATGAACGCCAGGCGACTTTCATGAAATTCCAGTAATTTTAAATAAACTAGATCTTGATGACATGTGTCGAGTTATCTATAAAAATTTATATATTATAAAATCATATTGTCATACAGCTCTTTTGTTATATATTTATATCACTGAAGTTAAATCACTGAAGTAAAACACAGTTGGCGCACTGACGTCCCACAATGAAAGACTATTTTATGATTTTGTGTCACAGCTTGGCCTGTTCGTCCTTTGTGAGGTACCAACGTTGACGCACCAGTAACAATAATACTATAGTCATTCATCAAGAACTAACAATTGCCGTGAGACTCGGACTTTGTCATCACCTCCCAAGGACCGTCAGAAGATTCTAAGAAGGTGTCGGAAATGCAATCTCGAGGTACAAAACCTTTCATCATCTTCAGCGTGATTGCAACACATGTATCGCCTATATACTGCGCATGTACAGAGTATTCACCGGACCTCAAGTCACCGCTCATGCCTGAGTTATATGCAATGCATGGCCGACAGCTGCAACCTCACTTTTCTGAAATCTTCATAACTGCAGACGTATTTCTTAAGGAAACGCCACGAAATCACTGAACCATGGCCTCCAACAAGCGTTCACTATGTCCACTACTCGCTGATCGCCAAGCTGATGATGGTTTCACTTAGCTGCTCTCACGAGACAGAGACTGTTAGGACAACCTCGATCCAAGGATAAGGATCTTCTCCTCGCTGACTTACGATACATACGTGACAGTGTGAAAGGTTATTAGATACCAGTGATCACACTGCGTGTGACGTCTACTGTCCTGTGAACTTTGACCATTTGACATTGAACATTCTGTGACATTTGTTTTAATCATGTAACATGTTTCGAAAATATATATCTTCAAATGTTTGTAAGTATATCCATAATCACACTTATTTCAGAATAACCTATCAGTTGAATTTATGTCATCTCTTTATAGTTGCAAATCAAAATGTAAACTGTTTAATCGGTTTACTTATGAAAAGTCAACTTAATTTTGTTTTCCAGACACTGACGTGATACTATTTTTGTGACTCACAGCTACGTTACGCAGATATCCACGCAAGACGAGTTAGGCAAATATAATTATTACAATTTCGTGATTTCGAATCATGTCGTGACTTTTCTTGAAAAGCCATTTCTATGTATTGTAGTTATCATGAAGCTGCAATGTAGCATGGCAATGTGCAAGTACATCAAGAGAATCAAAATATAGACATGAGCGATGTGTATGCCTGTGACTGACTTTACGTGTATCAGAACGTTATTTGGATAGGATTATCAAGCTTCTGTCTTTCTACAAGCATTTCGTTTAACAAATCGTATTCTGGCAAATGTTACGTGTATTAACATTTGCCGGAACATCGATGTCAAAATTTGTTTTCTATTTACTTTTGAAATGTTTACACATCTCAACATTGTCTTGATAATGTATGTATCGGATTGGCATATTCTTGAAATTGTATAATACGATGTTTCAGCGTGTATGTGATTTATAAAGAGTCTTGTATATATCTTACAATCACGATATTGTGTCTTATCGTACATGTAAATGCTCGGTGTATATAGTAGCGTCATACCTTTATTTATTATATAGACCCTTAAAGTCAATTATTTTCAATGTAGAGCTAAGACTCACACCAGGCCGGGTAATGTCACACAGCTATTAGTTATGTGTGAAAGACTATTATATAAGTCAGTGTAACAGCTTGTCTTGTCCATCCTTTGTGACGGTGTCCGTCATTTGTAAATAATGATTGCTGATTGACGCCCCAAGCGACATGCCACCTGTCATGCATGTTAAGTCACAGTTTCATTATAGGTAGATAAGCATAAATTTAAAAAATTGGGACAGGTTTGGAAGATATTGCTTATTTAAGAGTTTATATCGCTGTAGGTGAAAAGCTTCACATCGGAATAAATAGTGAAATTCATCTCCAACAAGGATAAAATCACAAAGTGGACACTGGCGGTCTTCCCTTGGAATATTCAACCATCGACCAGTTTCAACGGGGAATCTATGGTAAGAAGTTCTGAATTTTAATATAGGGAGAAATATTGATTTTGAGAGCAATAGATATTTCTCAAATGAAGGTTGATTCTTCAGGTACTTGTAATACGACCCTTTGGAGCTCGATTCGGCAATGGATTTCCAGTTCTGACGGAATTGAGATATATATATATGTTGAACCATTGAAGCCAGCCATAGGGATAACAAGGGATGACTATTTCAAGGTTAAATCTATGAAGGATCTTTTTAACACTATTAGTTCTCATTTAATTATTGTTTTTTTAAGGAAATTGACTTGATTCATAAATTTTGATTATAATGTTTTGTAAATAAATAGATGCATTTTATAATTGGTTGAATAAATCAATAACTGAGATTGTTAGTGGCTATATCCTCGAAGGGGGTTAAAGTAGTGTAAAATTATTGTCCCCCTGAGAGGGTATGTAAGACCACGTCTTTCAAAGCATATTTGTTTCTTCCACGATTTAACTCGTTTATAAACTTTAATAAACCAAATTCGCCATTTAACATAAAGTTTGGAGTTGCGTTTTTTTCAGTACAGTGGCTAATTTATGAAATTTTAGATGAACCCTTTCTATAATAGCTACATTCTCGTATCCCCAGATCTCGACACCATATAATAGTATAGGGACGACGATTGCATCAAATACAGATTACAGGTAAGCAAATGGCAAAGTAACATTTCGGGACTTCATGAGAAGGCTGAAAATGGCTTTAGTTGCTTTTTTTGACAGAGATTTGACTGCTTGTACACATCGTATATTCCTGTGTAGTTTTAGGCCAAGGTAGTTTCATGCATCTTCAGTATCAATAGGGTCGGGGCCAATAGTGAAACATAATTTCGATTTGTTTGCAGGTTCGGCACCAAAGATCACAACTTTTGTTTCGTTAGATTAACATTTAACTTCCATAGAGCACAGTAGTCGGATTTAATGATTTTTGTAGGTCTTTAGGGTTATCACTTATCATAACAGTGTCATCAGCATAGAGCAGTATTAGGAGCTTTACAAACTACAGTTACGTTAGTATCGATCAGATTTCCAAGGTCAACACTTTTACGTTCATTGTTCAAGATGTTTAGGAATATGGAAATAGGAGAGATGAAAGGTTTTCATCCTGTCGTACACCATCATGACAAATGAAATCGTCAGAGAGCTGGTTATAATGCTAATTTTAGATTTTATGTTGTGGTACATATTCTTGACCAGGGTGAAACACCTCCCTTCCATTCAAGATTTTTTAATTTTATGCCATAGATCAACTCTGCATACTTTATTGAATGCTTTAGTGAAACCTATAAAAACCCGAATATAAATATGGTTATTTACATCATTTGCATCAACACTCGCATTGCATAGTTGTTATCACAAGTTGAAAACCCTTTTCTAAAAAACTGCTTGTGCAGGATTTAAAATGTTAGTATCATCAACAAATTCAGTATATCTGTTATTTAATATTCGGGTGAAAAGTTTACCGAAGCAACTCGATATAGTTATAAGTCTTCATGAATTAGGGTCTAAGCGGTTGCCCTTCCCTTTATAGATTGGGTTCACAATCCCCGTAAGCAATGTATCTGGCAAAAGTTCAGATGTAAATATAACATTAATGAAATTTGTAAGAAATGGGACTAGGGTGTCAATAGCATCTAAAAGTAATCATTCTCTATAAAATCCTACCCTGTAGCTTTATTCCTCTTCAGATATTTAGTTGCAAATTAATTTCTTCGGTGTTAAGAACTGTGGTATCTAATGTAAAGTTAGGCGTAAAAACTATCTGTATCTGGTGTAATTACTGTTTTATTGCTATCATTTCTATGAAACATTTTCCAAAATTCTCTCGGTGAGCGATTATATATTGTTTTCCCGTAAGGCGATATGTATAGAATTTTTGTAACATTTAATCCGTTTATCAATACAC